AAACGCTTTTAACGAAAACGGCGGTTTTTTACAACAAGTTTTTGAGGGTTTTCAGAGATGAGGAAATGTAATCGAAACTGCGTTGGTCTCGAAATCATATTAAAGAGCAGGAAACAACAGAGCGCGAATTCTCAGGAAAATGATTCGATGGGGATATCCCGAACCAGGGAATTAAAGTCTGATGTTCATGAGTCTGAAAACTTAATTGATGTCGCGGAAACAATTATAAGTCAGCTATGGGAAGAAAGGCCATTGGTTGATATTCAGATAAGAAAAGTCTGGATCTATTATTGGTGTAACTTGAATTACGATTCTCAATCCTGAAGAAATGAATTCTCGCTGAGTGAAATACTGGTGCTTTCGCTTCTGCTCTACGTACCACAAAGTAATCAGTTAATCATATTGAGTTGAAGTAATCAAAACTAGAATATATTGTTACGGTTTTATGTTCTATCTAAGACGCACGAACTATAGTCAAACTCATTCATTCTCGAATATGCTTTGTTCAATTAGATTTGTTGTCTGCCTTTATTTGACTAATCAGATATTTTTTATGACGCTTGTTTCCATCCATATTTCTTCAGGCAATTAGGCTTCTTTCTTTCGTTGATCTTTTCGGGAAGAGAGAATCATCATAGCGAAATATTTTTTATGCTTTTTTTCTTTCTAACTAATATACAATCAGCGTACGCTCAACTAATAGATAATGATCAAATAGCAAAACAAGAATATTTTGACAAACTCATAGATAATGACAATCTGTCTTAGGCGAAATGAGGTTTAACTACAGGTTGTTGACGACAATAAGTCAGCGCAAAAGTTTTTCTTATGTATTTAGAAATAATATCTCCGTAAAGTTCTTCGAAAAAGAAACTGAACGAATTATTTTAACTCTCAGATATAAGTTTTTGGTTCCAATCTTGAGTATGAAATAATTCTTCCTGAGGATAAATCAACGATTTACAAGACAATGAAAACATGAGACACAGAAGTAACGAGTCGAGAGTGGCACCCCAAAGGATCGTCGACAAGCGACGAGGAGCAGTCCTTTTTGTTTCCGTTCAGTGAAATTGTTCTAGAAAAAATCACGCTGTATATCATTCTCGCATCGCGAGTATTCCAACAGAACTCCATAGAATTGATATTATCTATGTGTTTGTTGCGTCAATCAGAAAGTAATAAATATCTATGATGGAAAAGACAAACAGGAAACGTTGTAAGGGTTGAAAGTGTCAGTTATCACAGTTTCTTTTGGAAATAAAGCTACAAAAAAGCCAAAGGAATATAACTTAGACTGTAAATTGAAAAATACATCATAGATAATAAGGTAAGATTATCTAGAAATGGCCATTTGAATTTGTCAGCGATCTTTCGCTAACTTGAAAATTTGATAAACAATAAAAAATAAATTCCAGTTATCATTATCTATTTCAAAAGCCCAGAGCAAAATCATATTGACTTCTGTTTAAGATTGAATTTGATTTCAATATCTGAGTGTTTTTCTAGAAAATAAAAAATCTGTTGGAACTTTCTATTTTCAAGAGAAAATTATGGTTATTCTCTACAGCTAATTTTTCTGTGAATGAAATCCATAAAGAACTAAATGCTTTGATTTTTGGAGATCTCATGTCATGAGAGATTTTCATTGAACATTTAGAGTCTTCATTTCAAGGTAAGCAGATTATTCAGTCACCCGAGTAATAACTTATTATAGGTGCTGACTATAAGATTGACTCAGCTAACGTAGCGTGAGGAAATTAGTCTAGATGTGTCCAGTAGGCGATTGCGTTGCATCGAAGAAATATAATGAGCACTTAACTCAGTATTTGTAAGATCACATTATCATTCTTTCGGAAAAGAGTCAGTGGATAGTTAGGCGAGAGCTACTTGTCTGATAAATAAGCATAAAAAGTTGATTTGTATGTCTCAAAATGGCTACATTCTCAAGAAATGTGAGATCGTAGGTTTTGTAGAGAAATGTTTATTCTACAAAACACTGTAGTCGGTGTCTCAGATACATTCGAACAGTCTGAATATATTTCAGCAGAATATTACATACAATATTTTTCCTAAAAACAGATGTCATAAGTTTTTCATAGGAATATCGTATACAATGTTCTGTCGAGATTTATTCATATCATTGGAATGAATCTGAGAACTCGAGTACAGTGTTTTGAAGAGCAAATCTTCCTCTACAAAATTTACTATGCCACATTTCTGCAGAATATAGCCATTTGGATATATTAGAATAAACTGTTTATACTTATTTATCAGAAGAAATCGTATTGTAAGCTGTTTTACAGCGTTTAGTATTTTGACTATAATATCGCTATTTCTCAATAGAATTCGAAAAGTTTTTGTCTAAATGATCAACGAAAAAAAGGTTTACAAAATGTGATAGAAAGAAAATTTTCTAAACAATTTGTGGTTTTTCAATTGCCTATTTGTGGAACTCAACAACATCATTTGTATTTTTTTATGCCACTTTTTTGAGCATTGAAGTTTGTGTTCTTTTATTGTATTTCATATTCAAGAGTTTTTCGTATTAAACAGATATATGTAAATCGTACTCGACCTCTACTATATAGCCATATAAACAAATTAAATTAATATTATGTAGTTTTAATATACGATTCAAAACAAAAAGTTGGTAAGAGACTTTTCAGTTGCACTGTATATCACCAATCTGGATATTGCAGCTTCGCAGGAGTACATTATTCTACAACAAACGTTTTATCAGATATTTCGCAAGCCCTATTGTAACGACAAACTGGATAGCTTACGTTACTGTTACCCTAGGTAATGATGTTTATTAACTACTTCACATAAAACATACGCTTATATAGGAGAGAGGAACAGTGAAAGACATGGACATAATGAAGAAAAATAAAGACAGATGAACACAGAAAAGAACAATATAGACAAGATAACGAGGAGAGAAGAAATGTGGGTCAGCTGGAGACGCTGTCAATATTGGTACACCTATTTTACCTGGAGCCTGAGAGTTTTCTCTCACTCTTACCATTATGAACTCTTCGCTACAATACTTGTAACGGATGGCCCCTTCTCAATTGAAGAACTTTGCATTTCATATTTTAATCCCTAAATACGTGTTATTAAAAAGCAAAATATACCAAAAGATCCAGCGTGAAAAGTTTTACAATCTACGAAGTAAAGCTTATTTTAAGTGTGTACTTTTTGTTTTCAACGGAAGTGGAATTCTGTGCGATCGATTTTTGCTGCTACAAAAATCGGTTACATAGAATTTCGCTTTTATTGAAAACAGTTAATATAAGCTTTATTCTGTAAATTGTAGAGCTTTTCACATCGCATCTTTTGGCATATTTTGATCTTTTTTACGCAAACATATTAGATGATGAAAAGATGAAATAAGAAAAAAAGGAGTTCTCGTTTGTGTAGAAAAAAAAATGATTTTTTTCTCAAACGGCAAAAACTGGCTGCGCAGAGTTTTGCTTTTTTTCAAAACAAAAATTATACAATTAAAATAAGCTTTATTTTGCAGCTTGTAGAACATTCTGTTTTCTTTATAACACGTATTTAAGGATTAAAATATGGAACCTAAAGTTTTATTATTTATTACGGGTTACCCGTTAGTTCAAAAACTTTAGCTGCGGGTACAGAACTGTTTGGATAGCATGTTCTTCAGAATTCTTCGATTATTACATAATACGCACTGATTCACTAGCATATAAACATTTGTTAAACTCTATTGTCACTCAGTTTTGTTGTAAACTTTTATTGTTTATGAGAAAATGTCTTATCACTCAAGTCATTTTCATGGTTGTTCAAGCTTGTAGCGTGGAGTGTAGTCATATTCGGCATGGAAAGATACAATAGAAACCATGTTCGGAATTTTTCACGATAATTCGCGAGTTCCCATGGCCGTTAATTGGATAGTCAATTTTCTGGCTCAAATTATTCAATTACATTTGAAACAGATCGTGCTTTCTATAGAGAATCATTTAAATAATGACAGAATTGTTCGGTCACGGCGTAGAAAATACGAAAACAGCTATGTTCCATAGAGTATCAATCTTCGGTACTGAATTCAATAAATTATCATTAAAAGTTTCGCCCCATGAGACAGCCAAGTAAATATAAGGAATAATTCTTTCAGCTACACCCATGAGAATCTTTTTTTCTAAAATCGTTCAGATTCAAATCTAAATTTTAGTGGTCAAATTTTTCAAAACTGTTTCTAACAGATATCGCCTTCAATGGAATTATCTCTGCATTCTTGTATATGGAGTACATAGTCATAGTTCTAAACTAGGGATTTACTTTTTGTTTTGAAAATGGAGATTTTTACGTACACAAAAGAACTTATTGTTCTGCAATAGCTTGAGAACATGTATTATTTAAATAAATTTGCATTGGACTAAGTGACAAATACTAATCATTCTAATTTTCAAAGTCAGCTATGCCTGAAAATGCTTTTGTAAAATCTTCCATTGTCACTTTGCTTGTGAAAAATTGAAACATTTACAAAAATAAATACTTTTGAAAATTGATCTCAGATACCAGAAAATATATATGCCAATTCTAGAGCAAAAATATCTGATTGTCCGCTATACTCGTTAGATAAAAAGGATATTTTGAATACAAGCAAATATAGTTTTACTGTGATGAATTACTAGAATTTTAGCTCTTTACACAACCTAAACATAGGAAAGCAATAATTGTCCAATAAGCTTCTACTCTTATCCATAGCAGCTCAGTCAACGATCGAGCTCTGCTTGCATTTTCTCCGGTGCTAAAAAAAGCTAGATATGCTACTATCGTCTCGTTAAATGCAATCATGTTTTGTGAAAGAAATCATTCAAAAAGTTTCATCTTATACTGTTGTGTTTCGTTGAAATGTATGCGTGTTTTTAGGAACAAGTGGAAGTGCAAATAATCAACTCACTATGCCGTTGGGCATTGCACGTGATGCTAAGACAAAAATTCTTTACATCAGTGATTCTGGGAATAATCGGGTAATGCGATACTCAGCAGGCGCAGCGACTGGTATTTTGACTGTTGGTGGTAATGGAGCTGGGAATACAAATAATCAGCTGAACTCACCAAATGGTATCTATTTCGATTCAACATCAAATAGTCTTGTGATCGCTAATACTGGAGGTAACAATATCGTTCACTGGGTTATAACACAACCTACATGGACACTTCTTGCCGGTAATAGTGATGGAACGGCTGGTACTTCATCAACAGCACTTAGTGCTCCCATCGGTGTAACATTAGATTCCGTGGGCAACATGTACGTGGCCGATACAGGAAATCATCGGATACAGTTGTTTAAGGTTGGCCAAACTAATGGTATTACCATCGCAGGAGTAACTGGAACACTCGGCAATACTGTCTTCTTACTAAATAAGCCCTCTGCTGTTAGACTAGACAGTCAAGGTAATTTGTACGTGGCCGACACAAAAAATAACCGCATACAAAAGTTCACATGCATTTAAAGCTAGGGTTAGCCCACCTCGATGAAACCTTGAACATGCTTCCTTCTTTTACTTTTACTCAACCACGCATACTTTAAAAATAACTCGGTTTTAGTGTTCGTATCGAATGGTCTAGGAGCCATAGCTGATATGTATCACAACTTCTTCACATAATTTCTCGATACTAATTTTTTTTTCTTTCCATAATAAAACATATATAATGGGGTATGGGTTTATTAATCGAAAACAGCTCGACTTAATTCTTGAAAAAAAGACAAATTCAATCTGCTAATCTCGACTTTTGCTTTGCAAGAATCAATTAAGTCGAAAATTAATTAACAATAGAATGGTAAATTCGTTTGCTTGATTAGAAAGATTCGATTCGTTCTACGAGTTTCCAGGAAACTGATTTTACTGCAGAGATATGAGTAACGAATTTAGAAGGAGCATAATGGTCGTAATGGTAATAATGGGCGTTCTGCCCACCTATCTACTTCCCGGAAAGGCATCTGGGTTTCCGAGGCAGTAATAGAGATTCTGAAATACAAAACAGGGTAAGTATTCTAACAATTCAATTAACAAAAGTGTTATCTGCAACCACATCCTGCCGAGCACCCACCCCGACCGAAACGCCATGTGATTCCTTCCATCGCACCCACACTGAGATGTATCCCCCCCTCCCCCCCTCCCCCCGATACGTTTTCGCACACCCACACCCGTCAATTATGTCTATTGTGGCCATTATGTTCATTTCGGCGATTATGTCGATGGCCAAATTCTAGGGAAAGCTGTGTTCCGGTTATGGAAAAGAGATTCGGTTCCCAAAAAGCAATATCGGTTTCCAGAAATTGATCGAGTGTCCGAAAAGCAATTGAATTTTCTGGAACCTTCTATGACGCATCAAATGATTAGAAGTATTTAAGAAATGCAGAGTTCAATTCACCAACATGTCTTGTGACATTCCATTGGAATGTACACACTCATTAGGGCTATACTATTATTTCAGGCATGAC